CTGCTGTCATGGGCCAGGAATCAGCTTCACCTGCTGAACAGCAGCCTGAAGAGGGAGAAGGTGGAGTGAGCCCACCTGCAGCTGATCAGCTTTCAGGTACACAGAGGAGAAGGCACTAATGAGAACCAGCTGGCTTCAGCCTTCTTAAGCAGAGCTTCCAGCAGCAGTCAAATGCTGGTAATGCTTGTAGTTTCTGGCTCTACCTTGCTGCTTCCTACTCGTTTTGACCCTTAACCCCATGATCATTGGATTCCCTGACCCCTGGACCATCTGACCATGTGGATTACTGTTTGCCTGACCCTAGGACTGGACCTGACTTCAGTTGCTGACTCTGCCTCCAGGCAAGTACACCTCAGAGACTCTTCTGGTTGACTGGCCTCCCCACCCCACTGAGCTCTGCACATTGTTGCTCAGTAACAAGACTAAGACAACTGTGTGATTATTGGTGTGTGGACGCCTGTGGCAAGGCTGTCTCTGGCCAGGAATGGCCATAGAATTATTGTAATTAGCTCTCCAACCAAAGTTGGTAAGAGTTGCTCTGAGTCAATGAAGTCATCTGGGCCACTCCTGGCAGCAATGGATCAAAAAGTAGCCCCAAAATTTGCGCTTGCTGACTGAGGGTATGCAACCCATCCAGAGTTGGTACACAACCCATTCTTGCAATGGGGAACCACTCATCCATGGGATGTCAATCTTGTGAGGATTCACTCAGTTTATTTGTCCTCATCCATCCCATGACTTCACCTAAGCAGCACAGCCTCTCCTGATTCAGATGGCATTGCAGATGAAGCTGTACAACTCAATGCAGAGGGAGGCCTGCATTGAATTCAGGTCTAATGATGTCGGTCTTTATTTAATGACAATGTGGTGAAAAGAAAATGGCAACATATAATGTTATGCACCTTTGCTGCTTCTAACACTGCCATTTGGAATGTGGTAGGGATTCAGCAGAAGGACCAGTGAAGGTGCATTGTCCACTGATCTGCTAAGCGAAGGCATGCTGCCAAGGATGGATAGCTTTTTGGTTCAAGGTTTATAGAGATGTTGTGTGTCACCCTGTTTGCGCATGCATACACACAACACTTCAGAGGTGGGGAACTGTGGTCCTCCAGATATTGTTGGACTACAAGTGCTATTATCATTGACCGTGCTGGCTGGACCTGGTAAGAGTTGGACTCCAATATCCTCTGGAGGGCCACAGTTTTGCTGCAGAGAGCTGATGATGTGGCAGAACAGATTCTTTTGGGGGTTCAGCTCAGCAGAGGGGGCCCCTCTTGTAGTTCCACCACCCTCAGAGGTTGGGGGAGTGGTGACCCAGGAGTGGGCATTCTCTGTGGCACACCTTCCCTACAGAGCCGTGTCTGGCATGTTCCCTGTACTGCTTTTATAACATGCAGAAAATGTACCTCTTGACGCTGGCCTTTGATACTTGCAGTATATATTTTAGGACCTGCACTGGCTGTGGTTGTCATTTGTTTTAAACTGCGTTTTAATGCTGTGCTTTCTATAGTTGTAACCTGCTTCTAGTGAAGGGCAGGCTCTAAATATAACAGTAGTAGAAATAAAGACCCATTAATGTAGGTGCAGGAAACCTTTAGTCCTCGACTAGAGCAGTGTTCCCAAACTTGGGTCTTCAGCTGCTTTCAGCCTACAATTCCCATCATCCCTGACCACTGGTCTTGCTAGCTAAGGGTGATGGGAGTTGGAGTCCAAAAAAACACCTGGAGACCCAAGTTTGGGAAACACTGCCTAGATGTTGCTGAACTGCAACCTGCATCAGCTGCAGCAGGCATGGCCAAAGGCCAGGGATGATGGGATTTGTAATTCAACAACTGCTGGAGGGCCAAAGGTCCCTTACAGCTGCATTAAGGCATGGTTGATATCATACTATATTGCTTCTTCTCTGAATGAGTCCATGTGCTGACTTTAAAAGCATCAGTGTATCTATGAATCATGGTAAGGATGTAATGCCAAACAACTGGATAGAGTTGTCTGCCTTAGAATGAAGAAGAAAGGGGAACTTAGCATTATAGACACAGGCAATTTTCTTTTGCCCCTTGCAGTATTGAAATGTATGCATTTTGGAGAGATGATGCCCAGTGTTGGTTTCACATGAGATTATTTTTCTTTGTATCTAGACTATTTCGTATGTTATAGACCAGGATCCAAAGAACTGTGCAGATAGTTTCATGTGCTCAAGAGCGCTTTTGGTTAGCTTCTGTCAAACGCCAGACCTTCATGCCACATGGCACACTCACTTTAAGATTGGTGTGTGGGGGGGGTGTAGTTTCAGAAGCTGTTTGTAATGGGGCAGGGCAGCCTGCTGTTTGAAGAGATCTAGTGGGGATAGGGACTTGCAAGGCATGCCAGCTCTTGGGTAGTTCTTCAGCTATCTCAGTATTCTAAATTTTTGGCTGTGTTTTCTCAGGTTATATCAGGGCAACTGCACTAGATTAGTTTAAGAGGAAAGCTAAATAATATATGAGAGAGGTTTGCATGAATGCTTGAATTCTGGCATTTTATTGAGTGCAAGAGGTAGAGTGAAGGATGCTGTAATCTTTTATGATGCCCCTCATGGCAACAATAGTTCTACGGTGTACAGTGCCTACAATTCAAATTTGAACACAAATGGAATTCTATTTTTATTACCAAACATAACGGGGAAAGACATACCCAGCGCCAAAATTTGTTCATCTTTAACACACCTAAATTAACATTTATGGGATAACCGTCTCGTGACAGTCATTGTTGCAGGGAGGGAAACATGAGAAGTTACTGTTGCCTTCCCACATTCAGTACGTTTTGATGAAAGCTTCAGTTGAAATTCATCTACATATAATTGAGAATCTATCTACAGCATACTAGATATATAGGTAGGAAGCAAAGTGTTGCAGATTTTACCCCTGTTGGCCTTTGGTATAGGTATCTATAGCTATATAAAAGTTTCCACCAACATTTCTTCCTGCTACAGTGGCTGTGCTCAGATGTAATGCTAAACCATAGTTTAGCACTGTGGGAACATGCCAGGGCAACCTTCTGGTCATAGGCTCTCCACTCCTTCACAAGCATGGAAGCAAGAATGAAATCAAAAGCAGTTTGCCTCTTGTTCTAAAATAATTGCAGTAAGTATAGTGGTATAGGGAGGATTCTCAATGACCAAAATAGTAAGGGGGCAAGCTTTGACTCTATGCCCTGAAAGCCCCATCCTATGTACAGCCTTTGACCTAAGACCTCTGTGCTCCACCTGTCGGTCTGTAGGCGCATGAGGTCACCAACTTGCCAAAGCTAAACAGGTCTGGGTCCAGCTGATGCCTTGAAACCATTTTTTTGCAGTATACATTTTCCAGTCGGTGTTAGAAATTAGCTAGGTGCTAGGCTTGTTTTGCTGCTGACATGGGTCCAATTGCAACTATGTAGGGGTTTCTAAGCGCCAGGCTAGCAATCACAGTTTTAAAATCTCTGCCTTAGACCATAGTTCATACTGTTTCAATTTCCACTGTGTGTGTTTCTCCTCCTTGCATACTGGGACAAGTGAATTGTTGTAAGAGCAAGCTACATTCAAGCAAAGTAGTTGAGATCATAGAATCGTGGAATTGTAGTGTTGGAAGGGATCCCAAGGATCAATCCCCTGGTGAATAGAGATTCTGTTTCGGCAACCATAACCTAGGTTTAAGGTGCCATTTGGCACCCAGCTTACACATCTGAGTTTCTAACTCCGACTGTATAAAACACTGGGCAGTACTTGGATCATTCTTGGGTCCTGATTCCACAGTACTGAAATATCTCTCAGCATGCTAGCCATAGCTGAGAGTTACGATTCAATTATTGATGCCCTTGCTTGTGTTCATACTAGTGACAATGAAAAAGGTGATACGGGGAGAGAAGATGCCATTCTTCAGGGGGAAATGGAGGATTTAGTGTTTGTGTTCAGGCTCAAGCTTTTGGAATCATTTATTAGATCAGTTCCGCAAAACTAGCAAGGCCCCACAGGATTCAAAGATAGCCCTCAGTACAGATGTGCAGAGCTTTACACATCGCTCTTCCACTTCTTAAAAGAAACCTAATAAAGTTTTGATGAGATTGAACTCCAAGCAAAATAATACCTGCCTGGTGTAGACTGCAAGTGTGTGAATAAAGAAAAAGTCAGTGATACTGATGCACCTGATGCTGATGAAAGCCATTCTCCAAGAGACTCCTTTATTCTTTTGACGGATGGGCTTGAAACCAATTTAAAGGAAATAGCAGAGGATAATATGTTTTAGTGGTTTTGGTAATTTTTAGTTGCATCCTTGCCTGTGTACCAATGTATGTGTGAATATAAAACTTTATTATTGCCCTTTCTGTTAGGCTAATGCACTTTTATTAAACACTGCGAGGCATCTTAAACTTGACATAGATTAGGGCCTCAGAGTGCCTTAATCTGGCCGGCCGACCCATGAGGCAAAGTAAGATGACTGCCTTGGACAGCAGAATCCATGGGGGCTGCAGACCCAGCTTCCAAGGAATGCATTGCCCACTGCCACCACTGTGATGGCTGCATTACCCTCCTTGGAGGCCAAATCTGTTGCCTCCTCAGTAGCCCCCACAATTCTGCCTCTACAGGGACCTCTTGACAAATAGGAGTCACTGCTGGTCTCCTCCCACCCCTAGGGAGGAAATGGTGGGGACTGCCCTCTGGTGTTTCCCAGGCTTTGCAACCCCCTGTGTGATTCAGAGTGAGGCCCTTTCCCCTCTGCGGCGGAGTCTGATTCCCACTTCAACCCCTGGGTGAGTTTGATCTGATGCTCTCCCCACCCACGTTCTTGATGTAGATCTGTATTTCCCCTCTTGTTCCTGATGTAGATTTTTGCTCCCCTTTTCCCACCATTTTGTGGTTTGCCCCAGATGCCAAAGTGTCTTGGGTCAGTCCCCCAACTACTTTCTGAGCATCTCAATCACAGCACAATGCAAGTTGGTGAAGAAACAAGTTCTAAAGTGATTTTATGCTTCCTTTCTTACAGATGCGCACAACCCACAAAGTGTCTGTATGGCCTGTGGGTCTGGCGGGTGGACGACGCTATGAGCGCCCAGTTGTGGAAAAGGGCAAGGTTGTTGGATGGTACACTGGCTGGCGGGCAGGTAGACCTTTTCCCATTGATATGGCCGGTGAGTATAATTACAGAATCTCAGATACAGATTATATTCATGGGAACATGCATGCAGACATTGTATCACCCACTTGCACTTGCAAACAGTCTAGCTCTGCATGGACGCTGTAGGCAGGCATACAAAAACCCAACCTTCTGCTTTGTTCCGGTGAGCAAAAACAATGTTACTAGGTTCCTTCACCTCCTGAGAATCTCAATCTTTCCTTTCCTTTTTTTCTTTAAATGCAGTTGACTCTCAACTTGTGCGGATTTAACTTGTGTGATCACAGTTTTATGTGCTTGGTGGCTGGCCAGCTGCGATCCCACAAATTAAAAAAGCGTGGAAAGTGGAGAACTTAAAAGCTCTTTTCACAGCAGATTTTATTCTGGTGCGAAAGAATTTTTCAACTCTCAGGTCTGCTTACAGGGCTCTGGGAAGGTATAGTGAGATCTTGCGGAGCCGTCTGTAATCTCATGAAGGCCTCCAGAACCTGGTAAGCCCTTGCATGGGGTCAAGGCTTGTCGCACCAACTCCGAAGCGGTAGGGATGGACATGAGGGGGCGCTTCTGGGTTTCTTCGTCTTTACACAATTCTGGCTTTGTGTGCAATCCGCAGGACCTATGTTCTGTGCAAGTTCTGAGTCGTCTGTACAACTTCATGGTGCTCAAGAGTTTCAGACAGATATTTGTAGAAATTACTGAAGTTGGGGTTTGTGTGTGTGTGTGTTGTGTGTGTTTAATGCTATCATTCTGGCTACATATGACCATCATGAGCACTCTTGATAATAACACTCAGAATCTTCCTCCTTGGCTACCCTGTGCTGGATAGGAAAGTTTTGGCATGAAGATGAACCTGCCATTTTAATAGGACCAGCATATCTTGGAGGGTAAATTCTGGTTAAATCCTGCAGTCACTGGAATGCTTCTGAGAGTAAGTCGTGACTGAGCCTAGGGTCTGGAAGAAATATGCACCAATATTAGGTTTTGCATGTACACACCTATCTCCTTCCCCCTCCGCTTCTGGATTATTTTCCCTTCACTACAAAGACCAGTTGTAGTAGTTGGGAATGGGATGCTTCCTACACATTACAGTTTTCCAGCTCTGTATTGGCATTCAAATCTCTGCTTTTAATGGGCTCTTGAGAATCCTCAGTGCATTAGCAAAGGGTGCATAATGCATTTAAAACTGCTGATTTCAGAGGTTTTGCCCAGGGTTGTAGCATAGCATGGTTCTGATGTTGTAGCACAGGGTTAGTCAACCTGGTGTTCTCTGCACATGGTAAGCTACAGCTCCCATCACCCCTTGGCTAGGGCTGAATGGAGTTGTAGCCCAACAAATTTGGATGGTACCATATTGGTTACTCTTGATGTAGCAGGAAACTATCATAGGATGGGTTTGTTGGCTGATGTGGTGCTGCTCCACCTGCAGTTGGTATTTGGAACATAATCATTGTTTTCATGGCTCTAACCAGTAATCCATCTTGTTCAGCACTCTGTCTGAGCAACTTGCCAGCCAGAGATCCTAAGATGTTGGCAGCCAGAACAAGCATGATGCAGATAGCACTTTCTTATCGTTTTTATTCAGTGTCTAGCAATAGGACATACTGCCACTGGATTCAGATACTTCACTATCAAGTTATGGATAGATCTGAGGGTTTTTAAAATTTAGATTTATATTGTATATTATTGCTGTTGACTATGAAAGCACCTATAGAATAGTATTCAGAACTTCTCTCCAGAGGGTGGTAAAGTGAGGAATTTTGTCTGATAGGACACCTGGCAAGCATGCCCTGTTAAACTTCACACTGAGCATGTTAAAAATTCATATTGTATTCATGGCTGCCATTAGCATGCATGCAGTATTTGTAATTAGGAATATTGTTGAAAAAGAGCAAAGTGTGAAACTAATAGAACTTTTTGCATAACATGTCTTCTCATCATTAACCCTCTTATAAGCCCTGCTGCTGTATCCTAATTTAATTTACTTTTTAATAATAGGAAAACACTCTTCTCATTTATTTGAATTTTATATGGTATTTCTGTTTGAATGCTTCAGTGAATTTTTTCTCTGCGCCTTCATTAATTACTGCAGGCAGCTAGTATCTTTCATTACATGAACATTGCCATGTGCATAGGAAAACAAGCCCCATCAGATAGTTCAAGTGTGAAAAGCACTATTTCATCATGAAATGAGTCATTTCGCACAAACCACCGGAAAGTGAGGACTCTTGATATTTTATAGGTAGATACAGTGTGAAGTGTCCTGCTTAAGGGAGAAATCAACAAAACAACCACGAAGGCAGAGAAGGTTCAAAAATTAATCTCATCAATCTTTCACTGTACAGCTTGTGACTGCATAGCACTGTCTAGCGGCATAGCGCTACATGCTTGGTCAGTCTTTGGTGTATTCTAGATGCATCTCAAGCGCTGGCTGAATTGCTTTTGATATAGTGGCAGCTGTATTCCTGTAAGCCATGGGTTTCTGTATTTCAGAGAACACAGGGAGTGGGGTGGCGGTGAGGAGCAGTAGCATAGCGGTATATTTTGAAGTACACATAGGCATCTGTTTTGATCCAGGTGTGTGTGTGTGTGTGTGTGTCCATGTGCGTGCATGCGTGCATGCATGCACACACACTATAGAGCAGGAGTATGTAGCGATATCTGAGCTATTAGGATCAGTAAATGGTCACTGTATTTAGTGAGCAGGCAAAGGGGTAGTGTACTGGTTAATATGTTGGACTTTAGTTGCAGAGACCACTGCTGATCAGCCATGGAGTCTTCTTCCTCTGTAATTTCAACTTGTAAAGCACATTGAGCTTTAACAAAAGATCATCACCATTGGGCTGAAACAATGCAACCTTTAGCTTTAATTAGCAAGGCAAACAATCTAAATTAGTCCATTTTTAGAACATCTTCCGTTGTTTTTTATAACAGATAGTTGGCTTCAGTCGAGGATGTTGGTTAAATTCCACATCTGTCCATTGAACTCCCAGTTAGGGATGTAGGAGGTTGCTTTATACACAGTCAGACCAATGGTCTATTCTAACTCACTGCTTGCACTGACTTAGCAGAGGTGCTCTCTCCTCTGCCAGCCCCTTTCAGAGCTGCAAATAATACAGCTGCAAACATAGCAAGAGGAACATTCTGCACCATTGCAGGGATTTGGACTTACTGGCACCAATGGCAACCTTGTCCACTATTCCTGTGGCAAGGCAGCAGCTCACAGAAGAGCCTTCTGCAGGCATCTGTCCTTTTTTCACTACCGTTGGCTCAGCAATGCCTATTTAGCTGATTCTGCCGTTCTAATTCTAATGTTTATTTCCAGGACCAAAAGCACAGATAATAATAAGTGCAATCAAACACTGCATGCAGAGAACCTTCTGCTGTTTTCTTTTATGCTCTGCAGGCAAATATATCTTCACAAGATACCGTGGAAGTAATAAGTTGAATCCAGAATATCTATTCTGTGAATGGAAGGACTCCTTCCATTTATGCAAGGGAATGAGATCCAGCAGAAACTCTTTACCAGATGAATGGTTGAGATGTGTGTGTGATTTTTGGAGAGTCCCTCTGTCTCCTTCTATGCTGTTCCTCATGTTATTCTGGAGGGTTCCCTGCCCCCCCACAGCATATTTTCAGGTGGTGCTGGGGCTGTGGGGTGAGTTATCAAAAATCATATTCCTCAAGCACAAACTGTGAACTTTGGATCCAAGCCATGATCACTAGTAGATTACTTAACTCTAGAATTTGATCCATAGGGAAGATGCTCTGACTGGAAAGTTTTTACTGACTATGTTTTCAGAATTTGCAACAACTATTAAAAAAACCCACCCTTTCCTATTTTGATAGGCAGTTGGCCTAATTTCAGTATGCAAATTGTTTTAGTTTGAAAAGGGATGCAGCTTTTTAAAGAGGAATATAGCTGGAATTCAAAGAAACTTAATGCCAAATGGAGAAACTTTTACGGTGGCCTTGCAAAAAAAAAAAAAAGAAATACTAGCCTTCAAACGGTTCCGTGCCTGACTGCCCATACCAAGAGTGTAGGGAGGTCTTGTACAATCTCATGGATGGCTTTAGGCATTTTGGCACCCTATTGGGCAGAATCCTTTGGAAACCACTTTAAAGGCTTATAGCTGCTTCCCCTATCTATAAGGCAGGCGTGTATCTCTTGCTTGATTCTGCAGGCAACACCGATTAGGAAACTGATCTGTAGCCTCCAATGATATAAGCTTAAACCAGAGTTACTTGCCCTCTGGAATATTGCCTTGTTCTGCAACCTAAAATGCTCAGCCCTAATTACTAATTCTCATCTGTTATATGAGACTGGATTTGATGGCAGCCCAAAGATGTTTTGTTGGGACTTTACTCCACCCACTTGTGTGCTGGGAAAAGGGACAGTGACTTTGTCTGTATTCAGAATGTCACCAGTAATTTAATCTCCATGAGAGTAAGGAATAAATGGACTTGGTAGCTAAAGAGGGAAGTGTGTGTGCGCATTAGGTGTGTGGTAACTCACAGCTTGAGTTATAACGTGGATTTCCCGCTAACTGCCATTATGTGGACATTTACTACAGTATTCCATCTACTTTATCTAAATTAAGATCTCAGCTAGACACTAAAATATTGGCCTCTCTGGACCTTAGCTGTAACCCCTTGTAACAGGTTGAGCAGCATCCTCTGACTTGATCAGAATAAGGTCTGCATTACTTTGAAGATTTATCAGATGGATGCAACAGAATATTATAAATGCTGCCCCTAAGATTAGTTTCCCCTTTCCCCCATCTCCATTCCACTTCAGCCCACTTCTCCTATACCAGGAAGCTATACTCATTTCTCCTTAAGCCTTTCCTGATCACCATGGACATGTCTGTTCTAGGGTCAGTTAACAGTTGTCTTTCCTTACACTGGTATTAAATGATATTTGTCTTAATAGCAGACAGCCTTAGTTACTTTCTCTCCCCACCTCTGTTATCACAGCTGCCCTTCCTTAAGAAGCTTAAATGATAATAACAATATATTCAGTTGATTAGAAAATATTAATGCTGGGGAGTGTTTGCCGCACGGTAAAATGTCTGGAAGTCTAAAACAGCTTGCAGAGTATGTCATTGTGGCGGCATCCTACATATGTAATCTTCCAAAATATATTGGCTCTGAGCTGAGTGAATTATATCTCCTAACAAAAATTGCAAAGTGCTGTAGTCTATTCACTGCAGCTTGTTATTTTGAAGTATAGTTAAAATAAGTGTTTTATTAATATGCATTGCAAAGGCTCTGCTACCAAACCTGGTCATTAAGCAACCACAAATGTGCTTCTTTCAGCACTGCAGAGTTTTATTAGAGACAATCCAATACATCATACAGGCAGTTGAACACTGTTGGGGGCCTAATGGAAAACATTACTCTGCACTGCAGTAGTGAGGACGTTATGGCCCTACTGATGTTGTTGGACTACAACTCCCATCATTCCTGGGCTGATGAGAATCTTAACAATATATGTAGGGCCACAGCTTCCTCACCCCTGCATTTCTGGGTCTGAATTCCTAAACTGCTTGATTCAAAATCTTTAGGATAGAGTTAAGCAAGTTAACTGATTTGGTTCCAGGATACCTTTTAGACAATGGGGCACCTGGCATTCAAATCTCAGGGCTTTTGCGGAAGATAGGTCCCCTCCCCAAATCCTTACTTTCAGATATGCAGGAGAGGGGCAAAGGAAAACAGCCTCTGAGCATACTCTTTGCTTGGCAGTTGCTTCCTGCATCCCACAGCTGAGCAGTAGAAGGTTGTAAAGTCCTGCCTCAGGTAAAAATGCCGCTAAAGTCCTTTTGTCCCAATCTTGATTGCGCACCATAGAATGATGTAGCTCAAATACTTCTTTAAACGAAAGCAGTGGATTCCAAATTGAACTTACAGAAAAAAATGTTGGCAAGCGTCTTGTTGTACAACAGATTTGCAAAACCCTCATTAATCTTTTTCTTGTGCAAGGATCTTTTTTCTTTTTTTGCTGCCAGAAGAAGCCCTTTCAAACATGGAAAGATCTTTGACTTCTGGAAGAGCACTCCTGGGCTAACCTCCTAAAATGAGAACTGCACGTGTACAAAAGATTCAGGAAGGCAAACTTGCTGCCTTTACGACTTCCTAAGATCCTAAGTAGCAGTTAAAGTCTGACAGATTTTTGGTACTCTGAGGAGGGAATAGGGAGAAAATGTCTGAAGGGTAGTACATTTCCATGTTTCCCTGTTTAAATCAATTGTTGAGTGCACAGGAAGCCTACTAGTATATTTAAACATAGGCAATGACCATTTTGTAACATGCTCACATATCACAAATTAAAAGCTAAACTGAAAATTGAATCACCCAGTTTCTGCATTCAGTGGGCTCAATTGTGACAATTGGCCTAATTTCATATATATATGAGAGAAATGAATGATACAAGCAGCAGCAAGTATTCTAGTTTTAGGAAGTCTTGCTATATGCTAGAAATTATGTCACCAGTAATAGCAGTCCTTTGACATCCACACCTCCACAGTAAGGGTTCGCTAAATAGTGTACTATGTAAGGATTTGTTTTTCTACCACTTTCTCTTCAGAGCATTTTTTGAAAATGGTGATTATGGCTGCATTAGTACAGGTGTTACACTCATCATGAATGGATATCACTTCTAGTAGTATCAATGACATTCTAATTTGCATGTGAAATTCACTAAGCCAATTTTATTTTGCCTTCTCGTTAACAACTACATTCACATCAGAATTTAATTTTCAACTAGTTACAAATGTGCTGTCTGTTGCTTTTAAATCTCATTTTTCACACCAGGCAGGCTTTTCGTCACTTGTAAATTCCAATAACTTGCATTAAAGGTCACTGTTCACATTCAAAGAAAAAGTATAAACAGATACGGAGAAGCAGAGCTACTTTTCCAAATGAGAAAAAGCAGCTTATAGCCTGAGATATATGCTGCATAAATTGTGATGCAACCACAGGAGTGAAATTATATCCTGCCACATGATGCGGTGTAACACCCTTAGGTTGTTTACAAAATACAGGTTAGCAAGAAGAAAAAGGGGAAAAATATTTTTTAAAGGTAAATCAAAGAGCTATGAAATGTTTATAACTTTGGTTTTAATGATTTAACAATATCTTGATTTTTGAAGGGTTTGCTGTGAGCCTTCAGGTGATCTTATCCAACCCTAAAGCGATATTCAGACGCCATGGATCCCAACCAGGAATGCAGGAATCTGATTTTCTCAGACAGATCACCACAGTAGAAGAGCTGGAACCAAAAGCCAACAACTGCACAAAGGTATTAGTTTTGCTGTTTTAATACAGGAACCTGTCCTATAGGGGATCCAGAACTAATTGTTGATCCTAAACTTTTTTTTCAGGTTCTTGTATGGCACACGAGAACTGAAAAGGTAAATCTATCTAATGAGCCAAAGTATCACCTGGACAGTGTCAAAATTGAAGTATGATACGTAAGCATAAAATGGGACATAACAAAATTAATGGTTGCATCCTTGAAACAGCTAAACATTCAAACAGCAGTTTGCTTTGTGCAACAACTTGCTTTACCAGTATCAGTTAAGACTCATCAGATGGCTGTGATTTGTCTTCACTTGTTTTGCATGTGTTTGGATTTTTTTTTTTAAACTCTGTTTTAGTACTTTATCCAGATCTTAGATTGTTCTTACACAAGACGTTCAATGAAATGCAGCGGAACACTAAAAGAGTGACTGATCTAAACAAATGCAAGATTTCCAATTCATTTATAAATAGCAGCTTCCAGATTATTATGTTCAAAGTTTATTGTTCCTGAATTAAACAGCTTTGCTTTTGAAGAACAGTAGATAAAAGAGGTCTTTATAGAATGGAAAAAAAATCACATGTTGTTTATGGATTTCTTTAATAGAGGGAAGCAACAGCTTATTGATACGAGGCACCATAAAATGTAAACACAGTTACTGGCATAAACCTGGATACAGCTGTAGAAAATAAAAGTAAATGTACAATTGAGGAGTGAGTTACCCTGTATATATGCTGTGCAATATACTTTAGATTAGCCCTCTGTACATACGTTTTAAGCCAAATTTACTCATTTTGTCACAGGCAACTCTTAAGAAAACTGATGAGGTGACAGTGACATCCAGGTTTATCTCTTTCACTAACCATCTTATCTGTTCAGCACATCGCAGTAAAATATCACAGTGGCATGAATAATGGGACAAAATCAATTTTATACAAGGAAAAAAGTTTCAGTGATACATGTACACTTATTTATATGATTTAACATTTGTTCATACAGTACCTTCTACAGGATTACTGGGCAATTTGTGGGGTGGGGTTTACATATTAGAGATAGTACTTACATGATATCTATTTCCCTTATATGCAAACGTTGGTTCTAGAACTGATAAAATAATTTGAGTATGTAGTTGGTCACGAAGCTCTTTTGAAAATGTATCATTCATGAAATCAATGTACTGTGGAATGAAAAAAGCTGCTGATGAGAGGTGTTCCCAACCTGCTTTTCACTACATCAAAATTTAAGTCAATACAGACCACAACACGGTTGGTTAAGATTATGTCTTAATATGAAGAACTGTGAGATTGAAGGGGGTGAGGGTGGGCAATGTATGTGGGCAGACCAAGAAAACTAGATGTATTTGAGCATGGAATGTCAAGTCTCTGATCTAGATGAAACTTCTATTGCAGTGTTCATTTCCAGAGTTGTGTGCTGAGAGTCTGGCCTGAGGAAGTTCCAGTCCATCCTGCCACTGTATTTGGGGGCTGGCCAGCAAAGCCCACCACATTGCTGGAACTAGACAGATTCATTCCAGCCATTTGCTGATTCATCTGTGAAATGCAAACATGGTTCTAGTTAGTATACAGGGGTTCAGATACTGTTTGAACTTTCAGTATGACAGACTCAAGCTTTATTTGAAAATGCAGACACCACCTTATCTCAGGGAGGGTCTTTTGTATACCTGCACCTCTGTTACATAAACAGGTATCTTTCAATATGTCCTTTTCAACAGTAAGTTTAGTTTTATTTTATCACTGTCCTATGACTGGTCTTATTGCTGTTTTAACGTGAATACTGTAAACCACCCAGGTAGCCTGGTGGATGAAGGGTAATGTAAAAATATGGCAAATAAATAAATAGTATACCGTTTCTGACTTTTAGATAATATACATGAAGCATATTTGCAAATCAGCACCGTATTTTTCGCCCTATAGGACGCACCGGCCCATAGGACGCACCTAGCTTTTTTTGGGGGGGGGGGAATCAAGGGAAAAAAAATTATTTCCCCCGCAGGTTTGCGCAGCCATCCCCAAGCTAGAAGAGGGAGACGGAGTGCTCCGTCTCCCTCTTCTGCCTTCAGGGACAGCCTCTCTAGCCTCCGTGGGGCAGCGGCTTGCCCCGCTGTCCCCCGAGCTTATGGGGCTGGCGATGGGGAGAAGCAAGCTTGCTTCTCCCCCCCCCCCCGCCAGCCTCCAGATCAGGTCGGGGAATAGCGGGGTGGCAGCGCTGTGCCTCCCTGCTATCCCCCGAGCTTGTGGGCTGCAGGCTGCTGCCCGCAAGCTTTGCGAGCTGGCAGGACCTCCTGCCGGGCTTGCAAAGCTTGCGGATAGCTTCCTGAAGCCTGGAGAGCGAGAGGGGTCGGTGCGCACCGACCCCTCTCGCTCTCCAGGCTTCAGCGAAAGCCTGCATTCGCCCCATAGGATGCACACACATTTCCCCTTCATTTTTGGAGGGGAAAAAATGCATCCTATAGGGCGAAAAATACGGTAGTTATAGAGCTGTAGAGAATTTTAAAGGGTGCATTTTCTACAAAGAAGTCTTATCAAGGAGAATAAAGGTCAATGCAGTGGTTACCAGAATGATGTGAAAGCTGCTTCTATTTGACCTGATGCATTGTTAGTCCAGTAACACAAAAAGCAGTAATGTGGTTGGATAGTTTAACATGGCAACTTTCCATGCTGACAGCAGCAATGGGCATGAAAAACAACCTTACCCAAAGAATTTCTTCCTGCTGTTACCAGTGTAGAAGCTGCTCTCACACCATTCTCACAACAAATCTACATTCCAGTTTTGGAGATTAGAAGCACCCGGAAACGACTCCACCCTGTCTGGCCCTCTTCCACCTTGCGAAGGCTTCAGTGGGAAGCCTTTTGCATCTGTGGAAGCTCTGACCCACAATTACAAAAGTCCCCCCCCCCCAAGACAGTTGCTTTCTTCCAAGTTGGAAGTTGACAAGAGACTGAGGTAGGGACACTTGGTCACCCTTCCTCACTGCATGTTTATTTCCCCAGGATTTCCAACACCTGAATAAAGGTTAGATGGTTATACTGCGTCATTGACAGGATATTTAGAAAGAACAGTACTTTTAAAACGTTAGCTAATATATTGTACCATTCATGCACACATACACACAAAGTACAGTGACACGGCCATTCATACACGCCAGTGAAACCTTGGCTACAGCTCATGGTTAGGGAGGGTAGAGACTAATCACGAGAGCAGGTTCAAATGATGCACTAAGCCAGGGGCTGGACGACCTGCTATGCCTGCAGCTTTCAAGGCATTGGGGAGGTGTTGCTCTTCTCAAATGCTAAGCATGGGGCTTGCAAAACCGCTTTGTGCAGTACTTCCAAATTTCCCAACCACCACCTGGTTGGGAAACACAGTACCTTTTGAATGTTGACAGGCAGAGAGACTTCCCACCTGCCAAAGTTGGCCTGCTGGGATATAAAGATTTAGCCTGTTGGGCCACGGAATTTCCCCACCCCCTGTGCTAAGCTACAGCTTGGATAGCTCTGCTATCCAACGGGAATAAAAAACAGCAGGGTGGAGCCAAGAGCAAAGCAGCCAAGAGCTGCTCCCTGGGAGCCTGCACATTGGCACCATCCTGCTAGGCCACAGCACACCCATAGTTTTGCTGAACATGACACGCAAAGTTGTCTAGTGTCTAGTATACTGAATTAAGGAGTAATGCACCAAAATTACCAAGCCATTCTTGTACTAGCACCCTTCTAACAAATTGTTTAAAGTGGATGATAATGCCAAAAAGTAATCTTGAAAAATACAATATGGCAGGATTTACAGTCCTGCTGGTGTATTAATTCCTCCTAACTGCAGCAATAGCTTCCTAGCAATCAGCATCACGGCACCTCCTGCATAACTGGTTTTACTATTATTATTTTAAATTCTATTGACGTTATATGCATAACCAGGTTTTAATTCTAAGAAGTTGCTCCTCTCTGTAGCACCCTCCCCCCACAAGGAGAAAATGTATATTCATTCTCACCTGAGAAAGGTTCCACTGGGCTTGCTGATTTTGCTGTATACCATATTTCTGTGGTGGGGCTACGTGCCCCACCATTGGTCCTTGGGGTCCAACGTTTTGAGGAAGTCCCAAACCAGCAGTTTGTGTAGTGACAGAAAAACCATTAGGTATTCCCATGCCCACCATCATGCCTGCGTTCTGTCCTATGACAGGCACCGATTGCCCCATCATGGTTCCCATCATTGCAGGGGCTGCAGGTACAGATACAGGTACAGGCACTCCCATGGCTGGAAAACCTTGAAAATGAGCTGGTGGTTGTGCAGTAAAGGGAATAGGTTGTGGTCCCATGAATACACCTGTATTAGGCAAAATGGAAGAGGAAAGGAGTAAATTCCATTATGTCAGCAGTTTTAAGTTATAAAAACAAAACCTGCTTTTGCTAAATTTGCCAACCAAACTTCCGTTACATCAGGCAAAAAACAAAACTGATATCCATAGGAGTGGGAAGTAGCTGCTTTACTTAAATCATTCTTAATTTCATTTTCTGATTTGTAGACTACCTTTGAGGGATCCATTATCCCTTCAAGACAGTGTACAAATAGTGTTAAGATCTACATGTGGCTCAATGAATGTTGGCAAGGAATCTATTTAATGACAAACCCACAATCCTTAGACATTTAAGGTGGCTGGGGTATAACAAGAAGCATGGGTGCAAAAATCCAAGCACCTAGTTGTCAGTAGTACCTAAAGTTAGGCCTGATGATCTTGTGGTTGTGTCGCTGAAGGAGATAGGAAGCAGGCTTTCCCTGAAGCTGCTGCCACCTTTTGCTCCTTCTCTGTTCCCTTACAAGCTAGGATAGCTCCCTCACCCCACAACACTCTGGGCTACCTGCAGAGGCAAGGCACTAGCAAGCTACTCCTTTGCTCCCGCTCCTCCAACCTGGCTTTACCTCATGAACAGCAGCTCCTAAAGAGAAACCAAGAACTGGGCAATGACAGAATCTGATGACTGCTACTCTCCTGAGACCTGGGAAAGAGCCTAAGGTGGATTATGGGATTTGTTATGGTTTCTGGTTTAGGCTTACAGCAAGAGTGGGGAAACTCCAGTCTCCAGGCTGACTTGTGCAGAAAGCAGGCATGAAGTCACTGCCCATCAACGAATAGGTGGTGACCAAGCCTGCTGATCACTTGGACAGGAGGGTGGCTCTGTCCACAAGGGTAAGGGGGGATAAGAATTTGGCCCTCTGGCCAGATCAGGTTCCCCACCTCTGGGTTTAGAGGGTAATTTTCTCTTCCACCTTTCCTTCTTATTTTTGACCTCAAATCCAACTTTACACACCCCTCCACAGTCTTTTACTTTCCCACTCAAGCTATTTACTTCTTATACTCATCCTCCTCCTCCCCCCCCCCCGCCCCCCGTTTCCAACAGCATTTCATGGAAGGAGACCTTAAATTGCAGTCAAAGCTTCCTGGAATGCAGCCCCAGAGCCTTTTCAATAGCAGAGACCAGCTCTGGCAGATATGTTTCTATAACAGTAATAACAATAATAGTAACCCTGATAAAACCATTAATGATTGTG